AGGGATTTCAATATTACTTGGCACAAATGTTCACCATTGTGAGGCGGAGTGTCGCGCGCAAGATTCAGGTCCTTGCGACCAAGGTCAAGGTCACACATAGAGGTCAAAGTTCAGATAAAAATATGAAGATGTGTATATGGACCATTTAGTCATCATTTATTGAGGGATTGTAACACAAATGGTCATTATCAAGACTATGGCTGTGATACATATAATTTAGGTCAATATATACAAGGTCAAGGTCACTAAAGATGATGAAATATCCAGATTTTGTCCGGTGCATATCTCCTACACGCATGGAGGGATTTTAATGAAATTTCATAGAAATGTTCACCATTATGAGAAGCCATGTCACGCACATGAACTAGGTCTCTAGGTCAAAGGTCAAGGTCACACTTAGAGCTCATTGAAAAACGCTTGTCCGGAGCAAAACTTCCACATGCATAGAGGGATTTCAATATAACTTGGCACAAATATTCACCATTGTGAGGCGGAGTGTCGCGCACAAAATTCAGGTCCCTGCAGCCAAGGTCAAGGTCACACATAGAGGTCAAAGTTTAGATAAAAATATGAAGATGTGTATAGGGACAATTTAATCATCATTTATTGAGGGATTGTAACACAAATGGTCATTATCATGACTACGGCTGTGACACATGTACTTTAGGTCAATATATGCAAGGTCAAGGTCACTAAAGATGGTGAAATATCCAGATTTTGTCTGGAGCATATCTCCTACATGTATGGAAGAATTTTTATAATACTTAATGGAAATGTTCACCACCATGATATGTATTGCTCCATGCATGATCCAGGTCTCCAGGTCAAAGGTCAAGGTCACACTTAGAGCACATTGAAAAACGCTTGTCCGGAGCAAAACTTCTACGTTCATAGGGGGATTTCAATATAACTTGGCACAAATGTTCACCATTGTGAGGCTGAGTGTCGCACGCAAAATTCAGATCCCTGCGACCAAAGTCAAGGTTACACAGAGGTCAAAGTTCAGATAAAAATTTGAAGATGTGTATGTGGACCATTTAGTCATCATTTATTGATGGATTGTAGCACAAATGGTAACTATCATGACTACAGGTGTGACACATTTAATTTAGGTTAATATTTGCAAGGTCAAGGTCACTGGAGATGATTAAATATCCAGAAGTTGTCCGGAGCATATTTTCGACATGCATGGAGGAATTTTAATGTTACTTTATAGAATTGTTCACCACCATGAGACGTAGTGCCCTGCACATGAACCAAGTCTCTAGGTCAAAGGTGAAGGTCACAGTTAGAGCTCATAGAAAAACGCTTGTCTGGAGCAAAACTTCTACATGCATAGAGGGATTTCAATATAATTTGGCACAAATGTTCATCATTGTGAGGCTGAGTGCCGTGCATAAAATTCAGGTCCCTGCGACCAAGGTCAAGGTCACACATCCTGTGCATATCTTCCCTACTGATTTGTTTTAAGGTTCATTTAATAACACAGTGCCAAGAATAAAAATTTGCTTGCTAGATAACACTTATCCATAATGCCCCCATCTCCATCTAAAGCTTTCGTAAACGGGCGTATTTTGTGACTATGGCACCCTTGTTATCAATATCTAAGATGGAGCCATTTTTGGTGTTTGTTGAACATAGCGCTTTTATATTTCTGAAAGATAGTTAATAAATATGATTAAAAAAAAACTAAAAAACATTAAAGATATACTAGATTTCTGTGTCCTCTTGTTTTATATGTATCCAAAGTGATTTGAGCTCAACATTGAGAAACTGCCTATGAACAGAGGAAAATGATGTTTGCAGTGAAGTACTAATTCATTTTGAAATGTTAAAAATTGGTTTATGGTTTATGTCATATTTTCTTCTTATAATATATGGTCAGAAGACTTAACGTACGGTGCTTTAGGTACACATGTATAGTAGAATCTGCTGACCAGTTAACCCATTACAGCATAAGCATTTTGTGAAAAATGGCTGTTTTCATTGAAAACCCCAAATTGCTATGAAACAATATCGTCGGTGGTTCTACTCAGGTGCCCGTCTGTGCCCGAAATAATGCACGGAAGGGCACCTGAGGTCTACCTCCACCAGTTAAGCTGGAATGTCACCATATTACCTATACTGTGTCGGTGTGACGTACCCAATCAATCAATCAACTATGAAACTATAAAAAAATGCTTTAATACTGATAAAACTTGGCACAAATGATTACTGAGCCATAGCAATTGTATCTTAATTTTCTGTTACCATGACAACGAGGGACATTTCAAAATCACTATGTATTAATTTTTTCCATCAGAGCTGCAACTTTCCGATGGGTCGGGATAGACTGAAGGGCTTTCAGCGTTGGTTACACGTTAACGTATGATCGACCTGATGCCATTTTGAGCCTCTCACAAGTCCACATTTTTCTTGGAGTTGAGTGGGGCTGCAGTCTCCCTTCAAACCCCTCTGCAGAAGAGGGCTCTCCCTCTCTTGCACCCCGATGTATGTCAGAAACAGGGCATGGTTTTCACTATTTAATGCATCAAAAGGGAGGGTGAAAATACGTGAAAACACGTCTATATGAGGTAAAAGGTAAAACATGTAGTATTAAAATATTTTAACCAGTAAAACTTACAGGGAAAACAGTTAACCAATAAGATATCTAGAGAAATATGTTATTTTGCCAGCATAATGTTAGTAAATATAATAGATTCTACATCTCGCAAACCAATAAAACCTCTGCTGAGAAACTAAAATATAAAAGAAATTGCTTGTGTAGTTTTTGCTGTATTTTCTTCTTATTCTATATGGTCAGAAGATTCAACGTCATGCGAAAAACTGCTGACCACTTAAACGTAAGTAGAATCTGCAGACCAGTCAAACATATAGAAGAATCTGCTGACCTACAGTTAAACTTTTAGTGAAAATTGCTGACCACTTATATTAGATATACAGAGAAAATTAAGTTTAACATACATTTCTTATTGTTTCACACTGTTAGTATATATAATAAATTCTACATCCTACAAAACAATAAAGCCACTGATGACCAATCAAAAATATAATAGAAATAGCAGTATTTTTTATATTAAACAAAGCCGACCAGTTAGATTTATTATGAACTATATTTAGAATTATAAAGAAAACTGAAATGAAATTCGTTTTTTCATTTACACTGTAAAATTTGTTCTTGACTGCAGTGAAACATATTTTCCGTATTTTCACTTGTGTCTTGCCGGACTACTTTCTTCTAGATTAAGCCAATATACAAAATTTAAGGCTAAGACTATCAAATTGTATCAGTAATGTCAAAAATAGAAAAAAGTACATGTATATAATAATAGCGCAACTCATGAAATATTTATTTTCATACCACTCGATAAAAATAAATCCTGTATTTATAGAAAAAAACTTGAATATCCTCTATGAACTACTGACCAAAGCAGCACGCCTCCAGATTCATCCTAATTTATATGAAAATTTTGAAAATGTATTTAAAGGTAAAATATTGTGAAATGATCAAAGAAAGTACTTGACACATTACAATCGGCACTAAAAATCCACGTAAATTACCAAAAAGAGGTCAAAATATGCATAAATAGCCCCTACTGCTTTAGTAACGCAGTAGAATTATGGTGATAAATACTACAAAATACAGTCATTAATTGCACATAAGATATAAATTATCACTTGAATCTTTAATTTTTTCACTTTTCTCAAAGTTTTAGTATGGTTTTTCCAAGTCTAATTTTCTTGAAATATTTTGGGTCATCTGGAGGCATGCAGCTTTAAATGTCAATATAACATCATTTTCATCTGAAATCTTTCGACTTGTTTTAAAGTTCCACACAATTTATTACATTTTCGTGTATTTTATATAAGTATTTCCCCTATCTAAGAATTTAATTCAATTAAAGTATCGATTTTGGCAATATCTGTCCCATATCTTCTGATATAAAATGTTACTTTTTTTTATTAATTTATAATTTTATTTAGACGTTTTCAGTGTAAAAAAAGAAACAAAAACAAACAAAAAAGGAACGAAAACAAAAAAAAAACAGGGAGAAAAAAAAATCTATTGACAGAAGTAAAATTATATTCCCATATTCTATACCGTCAGCAGGTTATAATTGTCAACCGGAAGGTGATAGTCGACAATGCGATAACGCGATGTCGACAATACAACAGTGCGATGGCGACAGTGCGATAACGACAATGCGATAATGCGACAGCGCGATAGTGCGATGACGACAATGCGATAGTGCGATGGCGACAGTACGATAGTACGATCGCACTATCGTATTGTCGCCATCGCATTATCGCACTGTCGTCATCGCGTTATCGCAATGTCGCCATCGCATTGTCACCATCGCATTATTGCATTGTCGCATTATCGTATTGTCGTCATCGCATTGTCGCACTGTCGTCATCGTACTATCGCACTGTCGTCATCGCACTGTCGTATTGTCGTCATCATATTATCGCACTGTCGCATTGTCGCCCTCTGGTTTAGAAAGTCTAGCGACGATGGCCCTAACGGTATTCCTTAAAAACCCGAAAGTTGTAAATTGCTGTCTGAAAAATTTACATCTAGCTTAGTTTCAGTAAAACAAAAAATATCCATATCTAAAAAATTCTTTTATATAATCGAGTTTATTTTTATGCGTCTAATATTTTGATGAAAAATGGAAATGCAGTTTTCTTTATTAACGATTGGTCCCGGTGTTAATTCAACATCGCCAGATATAATAATTAGATAAACAATGTATAGCAAATACATTATTCTATAACATGTGCTATCTTAGTTATACTTTTTACAAAAATATAAAAATATGAGTGTATTCTGTTTTTCCAGTTAAAATAAAAAGATGAAGAAAAATTTAAAAACAGTTCGTTGATAACACAGACAAAACTAACGAACAAAAAATAATCGTTAACATTTTTGAAGACAATATATACATTCATAAACTGCTGACTATTATTGAAAGATCCTATTGATCTCGACGTTTTTGAATAAATATAACCTTAAGTAGGTTAATTTTGTGTAAATTAGCACGATGTGTAGCTACTGTTATATAGTTTTTAATCTCGACTTGTACAGGTTGTTAGTGTAGAATTTTTGTGTTACTTATATGGACATTTATGTATCGCCTACTTTCGTTTTCGCCTTACGTAAAGTGACTTAACGGTATGCATTTGTTGAAACTTTCGCTTTAATCTAAGTTCTTAATTTCTGATATGAATAATACAGAAAATGCATTTTGAATTACGTCTATTTTTGTTATCATTTATTATATTCCTGTTTAGCTCATTAGATAAGTGGTAAATACTTAACAGCTGTAAAATCATGGGAACAGGAGGCTATGGAGGCATGGCAACGAAAGGAAGCCATGGACGAGAAAGGATCAGTAAAAGTGGAAAAGTACTTGTGGCGGCCATCCACTTCGGGACAACATTTTCTGGATACGCATATTCCTTTAATCATGACTATGAAGTAGACCCGACGAAAATGGCAGCAAATACGAGTTGGGTGGCCGGCTCTGCCGGACTCATGTCGTTGAAAACACCTACCATTCTTCTTCTTAACAATAAGAAACATTTCGTTGCCTTTGGTTACGAGGCTGAAGAACAATATTCTGAAAAAGTAGCAGACGAAGACCAAAAGAATTATTACTACTACCGGCGATTCAAATTGCTTCTATACAAGGTGAGTAAGCATACGTAGGGTCTTGATTTATTATTCATGGTTTGAGATTGTTTTGCTGTATCGATTGGGTGTTAAAACACAGATATTTTAGTAAGAAGAAAGATTGCACATGCAACTCATCGCACTTGACTGAACTCGCACATTTAAAAGATATGAAGTCAGTCTCCCAGATGAGAATTGAACTCATACTGGTGCGGTTTTGTTGTTGAAGACGAAATATACAGACTTACCTAGGTAACCTTTATTTGCACCTTATTTTAAAATGTTTGAGACTGACAAACCCTAATTTAATGGCGACAACTCAATCTATCAATGCTGCCAATGGAGACCACGATAATGCCGTAAGATCATGGTCTTCACTGTTCGCATTCAGTCAGTATCTGGGTAATAAGAAGGCGTTATTTTTTTAAATGTTTAAATCTTTTAAAGAATTTCGAAGATTTCTATTAGTACATGACTTTCTATTGTTGACATAATAAGAGGCATAATTTTTTTTATGGTTTAAGTACCGTGATTTATTGTTCACGTCACTTCCGTCATTTTGAAAAATATATTACAGAAAAGAACCATGTCGATTATCTAGAAACCTAGCCGGATCGTAGATATAGATTAGCTAACTATTTTCTGCAACATAACATACATAAAAATAATTTTGATCTTCATTTTAAACTTAAGTACTTTGTGTAAAAGGTCTTAAGCAGTTGGGCTATATCTTTAATCTAAATTGTGTACAAGCGGTGTAAGGTTTAAAGTAAAAGCTTAAAGTTATAAAACATGCCGACTCTTATGCTTAAAAAGGTCACAAATAAAACAGGCGCTACCCGATTTAACCATTTTTACAGCATCAGCGGTTTTGATGATCTCGCGTCACGATTTAGATTTAAAATCGTATACCTTGCGTGGTCATGAATGAAACGGTCGCCTTGAAAGGTTAGGGCGGATGTCGCCCGATGTCCGGACGGCGCCTGTAAGGTTCATAAATAGATCGGACGGTCGCCGCGGGCGCCTGGCAGTAAAGGCTATTCTTTTATAAATCAGCCAGTTGTCAATATGCCAGCAAAGAAAGCAATTACTAGAGGCATAGATAATCCTCCTACAGTCATCTATGTGCGGACCCTCGTCATATGCTGCAACAATTGTATTTTGCCTTTAAGAATAATACGTGTAGACGTTCTTGCACAATGTGAAATCCAAAGGAATTCACAAATCCATTTTTTGAGGCAAAAACAGCAAACTCAAGCCACCCGGTCGCCGGATTGCAAAACGAGGACCGCCTTGTGTCTGTACATAAATTGTACGGGTATTGGGTCATAACGCTCACCAAATGGTGTATATATTTGCGCGCCGGTCGGTGCCAGGGCGATGTCCACCAGGGTGCCTTTTATATCGGACGGTGCTTTTTAGTATCAAAAACAATCGCCCGATCCAAAACAAATCGCCCGGGTACCGCCCGGTGTCCTTGCGATGAGGTTTTTAACTCACTGACCTCAACAATTATCGTCCGGAGGACGTTAGCGTTAAAGTTGTAATTAAAACTGGACGGAGCCCGCTCGATGAGCAAAATTTTCAGCTGCTGCCATCCGATTGTCACTTCGCTGGACGAACGCCGTTCGATATTGCGATTTTTTTAGAAACAGACGCCGCCCGGCAGCCGCTTGTTATTTGTGACTGAGGCATTATAATTAGACAATTTCTGGAGGTCCAGTTTTCTGGTAGTAATTTAGATTATTATATTATATTATTATATTTATAGATTGTCGATGGGGATGGAAGTAATATCATGTGCATTATTTTGTTGAATAAGTTATGATACTTGTCCTGTAAGACAAAAATGGGCAGCACTCAAATTGGGCTCGTTTGTTATAATAATTCTTGCAACAAATCATACAATGTATAATATGCCAGAAATTATTTGTCACTGTTTCTCTTTTATAGGGTGATCATTTAACGAGAGACGTTATGATCCCAGACGACAAAGGACGTCTGATGTCTGCCCTTCAAGTGTTTAGTATATCAATCGAATATCTAAGAAAACACGTAATGGAAACAATTAATAAAAGGTACTATTTATTTTACAAAATGGCGGTTGGTGATGATGATAATGATTATGATAATAACGATGATGATAAGAATTTCGACTACGATCGCGAATGATTTGACAATTATTACAATTATATCAATGATGATGATTCTGATGATGATGCTGTGAATTTTGACTACAATCACGAAGAATATGACAATTATTACAATGACATCAATGAAGATGTTGATGTGAATTTTGACTACAATCACAAAACTAATAACAATGGTGACAATGATGATAATTATACAAACTGTACATGTAAACCGGTGTGCTTCCATCGGTATGAGACTATGTGGTGATATATTGATTATATTATTATATCCTATAAAATGATTGAGACTTTTTAGGCACCTTAATTTTATTTCCAAAGCTTTTTATACCTGGTTTTCATTTACAATTCCCAAAACGGTACTCATTTAACATAAAGCTGGACCAATTTTTTGCTTCTTGGTCATAAGTTTTTCTATTGAATGCGATTCACGTCACACCAACACCAGAAAGGTCATTTGCGACTGGACTGGTTGAAGAAGAACTCAGGTGCCCCTCCGTGCATTATTTCAGGCACTAATGGACACTGAAGTAGAACCAACGATGTTCCATAAGCTTACTGGATGCTTCCTCACATGAGGTCAAAGTGAACCTATAATATTGAGAGGCAAATGGTGTAAAGTCAACGGCCTTATCCACTGAGCCTCAGATGCCCCTTTGGTCAGTCAATTTACAGGGGTTTAGTATTTTGTAAGAAGACAATTTGTCATTGTGATTACGTTTTGCTACTATTATGAGTTCATCCACGGCTACTATCTCTAAAAGATAAGTATCTTAATTGTTCTAAATCAATTTGTGTTTGATTAAGGAAATGTATGCCTTTTCCTCTGAGGAAAAGTCATATTCATTTCCGAGCCATAAATAAAGATGAACGGGTCCGTGTGCGCACATAAGTAAAACGAGTAAAATTATACTAGGTAAAAGCTAATACATGTATTTACATTCATTTTGTTTGTCCATCCTTAAAGCCAGTCGAATTATATTTTACCATGGGTATATAGCTCAAAAGTTAGACAAGTTCCTTAAACGTACACTTATCACTCAAGTTTGATTCCGCTTCCTGGATTTAACAATGTTAGGTCATATGGGGCGGACAGTGTCGGTTGGCTCCAACCCAAATTTAACCCCCTGGTTAAAAAGGAGCGTTAAACCGGATCCCTTTCATTTAGTTTCCAAACATGGGGAGAGTTTTTTTTAAATTTTTCGAAACGTTTCAACTTTGTTATAAAAAAAAAACATGAAAAAACTAAAAAACTTTCAGTAAAAATTTTGCGTTTAAAATTTAAAAGGGTTTTAAAAAAAAGGGTTTTAGAAAAAAAAACTTTTTTTCTACGCAAAAACTTTGATTTTTTTGATCAAAATTTTAAATTTTGAAAATATTTTTATAAATATTTTTATGGGTCTGATTAAAGACAGCCTGTTTTGGCCAGGACTGCCCGATTTATTTAAATTTAATTTTCCCGTACGTTGGGATTTCAAGTTTGAAATCGTTGGTGCGATAGAAATTTTTAAAAAAATAAGGAAAAATTTTTTTTTATTCGAAAACAGAATGACCGGTGGACCAAGGGGGACATTTTTGGGTTCCCGAATTTTTTCCCGCTTATCGAATGAAGGACCAAAAAAGTTTTATGAGGGAGGGCGGAAAAAGGGTTTGTTATTTTGTATGTAAGTTATTTTTATATATTTCTTTGAAAAATTTTTTCAAAGTTTTAGTGGGCAATTATTAAACTATGACACATCCGGTATTTAATTTCCCCGGGAATACATGTTTAAAAAGTTAATCTAAGAAAGTAAAGATTCAAATTTTGTTAAAGGGAATTTTCAATCCTTTACTAGTTAAAATAAAAAGTGTATAAAGAATTTGGAAAAATGGGCGAATGGGGGGCGCTGGGCGGAAAATTCTTATGTGAGAAAAAACTTCCCAATGAATACTATACAACCATATTAAAAATTTGTTTAATTTTTTCCCCCGGGCCCCGACGTGGCATTTATGGTTAAGGCAACCTTTTGGAAAGGGTGGGGATGAGACCCAAAGTGCGGGCTGGATTAGGGCTTGAAACCTAAATTTTGGAAAACCGTTTCCCGCCCCACTAATTTGGGTTTTTTTTACTTTTTATAAGTATGGTTTAATTTTGCATTAAAATTTTTCGTTGCCCCTTTAAAAACTTTTCCCCAATTTTTTTTGTTAAAATTTTAAATTCCCCATCTTTGGGGGTAATTGTTTCCCCAAAATTTTTATTTAAAAAATTTGTAACTTCTGAGACGGGGAATTTTTCGTTTTTTTTTAGTTCTTATAAAAAAAAGAAAAATTAGCCCAAATAACAATTTGGAAACAAAAAATAAGACAAACTTTTGTATCAATTTGGGGAAACCCAAAAAAAGTCTAAATTTTTCGCCCTTTAACAAGGCCCCGGCGTCCCCATCTTTATGAATTTTGTTGTCCCCACAAAAATTTCCCAAAGGTCCAAAAAAACCCCCGCTTTTCCCCCTTTTACCAAAGGGATCAAAATTGGGCCTATATTAAGGGGTAAGCAATTTTCGGGTGGAAACCCTTTTAATTTGATTTCGCATTGGTTTATTTTTAAAAATACAAAAAGGGTCGCTAAATTTTTTTCTGTTTTTTTAAAAAAAAACAAAAACAAATTTTTTTATAGACTTTGGGAAAAAACGGTCTTAACCCCCATTTTTGCTTAAATTAATTTTTCCCAAAAAATAGGTGTTCTTTTGGTTCTAAAGCCCGGGTTTTTTAAGTGACCCTTAGCCCCCCTTTTGTAATGTTTGGCCCGGGCAAATTGTTAAAACCCTTTTGCCCAGTTAAGGGTTAAAATTAAAAAAAAAATTTGACCCAAATAAAAGTTTTTTTTTAATTTTAAATTAATGAAATTTGTAAAATTATTTTGGCCCGGGTTTAAATTAAAAAAAAGCTCCCTTTTAATTTAAATGAATTTTAAAAAAAAATAAGCTACCGGCTGTTAAAAGTATAGAAGCCGAGAATGACTTTACTGGGGCTGGGCAAAAATTTGTCCCCCGGGTTTTGGTTAAAAGGAAAAAAAAAATTTCCCTTAAAAAATTATAGGAGGGCCCCAAAAACCCCCCAAAAGAAAAAATTAAAACCCTAAATTGGGTTTTCCTTTAAAAGTTCTGTTATCAACCGGGATTTTTTTAAAATAAAGCAAAAATTAAGTAAGTTTTATGGGGGTTTTTTTTTTTTTAAAAACTGAGCCAAAGTTTAACATTTTTTAAAACCCTTTTAAAATTTTTTTTTTTCAGGGGGATTTTTGATTTATCCACGAAGGTTTTGAAAAAGCTGAAAGAACTAATTATGAAAAGGTTTTCACGTGTGTTTTGGGGCGGGGTTGAGCCGGGGGTTTTTAGAAAAATTTTTTCGGAGATTTTTTGGGTTTTTAATTTTTTTAAATTTTTTTTGTTTTTTTTTTTGAAAATGTTTAAATTTTGTTAAAAATTAAAAATTGGGGCTTTTAAAGGGTAAAGTATTGCTGGTTTTTTTTTTTGTGGGTTTTTTCTTTTTTTTCATTTCATTTTTTTTTTTGGTTTTCCCCAAAATTTTTTTTTTTTCTAATTTATTTCCCAAAAAATTTCGTCTGTTTGCTTCTTTTTTTTCCTTCTTGTGAAGTCTGTTTTGGGAAAAAAAAATTTAAAATTTATGGGAAGGGAAAAATTAAAAAAATTTTATCCACTAAAAAAGATGGGGATTTTTCTGTTCAGCTTTGTATAAAAAAAAGTTTCGTTTTTAAAAGCGTTCAAAAAAAGATTCATGGAAGGAAAAGTTGGGTGTTCCGAATTTACGATAAATGTTTTATTGAAATAAAAGTTGCGAAATTTAATAACAACCTTTATATAATAAAATAACACTGGGCCAAAAAATTTAAAAGATCACCCCCCGGAATTTTCGTTATATATTTAAAAAAAAATAATAAAAATAATTCCCCACTTTTATTTTATTTTTGGGGAATGAAATTTTTGAAAATTAAAAAATTTTAAATTTTCTTTTTAAAAATACTTTTCGTATTTTAAAAAAAAATTTTTATGAAACCGCCACTCACCGTTGAAGAGGCTCCAGCTTTTAAAATCCCCAAATGTACCCGGCCCCGATCCCTTTCATCGAATTTTTGTGCAATTTTTTTTTTTTTCCCCCCTGACAAAATTAACAAAGATTTATGCTTTTTAAATTTAAAACTCCCGCTCTGCCGAAAATTTGTGCCAAAAGTTTAAAAGCGCCCCGTCTCCTCTAAGTGCATGGGAAACCCTATTAAATTTTTTTCTTTCACAAAAACTTTAGAAAAAGCACAAAAAATTTCCTCTGCAAAATTTAATTTAAAATCTTTTGCCCTATAAAATTATAAAAATTTAAAAAATGATTTGGGTTTGAATTTTTTTAATGAAAAATTTACAATAGGGCACGCAGTTTTGATTTTTTATGTTAAAGGGGTTTTATGAAGAAATTTTTTTTTTAAAAACTAAAAGAAGGGAAAAACCGTTTTTGAAAATTTCATGCAGGATGCCAAAGAAAATTGGGGGTTTTTCCTATTTAGGAGTTTGGGCTAAAAAAATAAAAAAAAGGAAGGGTTTGGGGATGAAAGGGTTTAAAAAAAACAAATTAAAAGTCCCCAAATAGTCTTGCGAAATTTTCCAAAATGTAACAGGCAAAAAAATTAAAGGGGCTTTTATTTAAAAAAAAAAAAGGGTTTCCGACAAGGTTTTGCGTTTTGGGTGGCGAAAATTGAAAAAGTCGAAGAGGGAAAATTAGGGTTTTTTCGATGAAAATTTTTCAACAAAATAGTAAAATTAAAAAAGGGTTTTTTTCCCGAAAGCCCCGCAAAAAAAGAAATTTAATTTTTTAGTTGGAGGGGTTTTTGAAACACCGTTAATTCAAACGCTATCCCAACCTTTTCCCCGCAAAAAGTTTGTTATAAACCAAAAAAGCTAGTTTCAGTTTTAAAGGGGCTGTTATATTTGGGGCATAATCCCGTCCAAATTTTCCCCGGCATTTTCAAGGGGTGTATGGTTCCTTTTTTCTATGAGAATTTTTCCCAAAAAGGCCCTCCATCCCCGGGGAAAAGAAAATGATTGTTGGAAAAAAAAATGTAAAGGGTGGTTTGATGTCCTGTTAAAAAAGGGGAGGGGGTTGGGGGGGGGCGCAAACCAAAAAGTTCCGCCCCCTTTAAGCAGACCCGTTCTTTTTTTGTTTTTTTCATGTTTTACATCAAATGACCAGAACCCTTTTTTTTAAAGGGGGGTTCCCAATCGATGTCGGCCCCCTGGGAAATGGGGTGTTCCGGGGTTTTCCGGGGAAAGATCGCGGGGTTTTTTTTCAAAGTTTTTGGCGGGGAAGTTGGGGTTTGAAGTGGGAGGAAAAAACAAAAAAATTACGAAAGAAAGTTTTTATTTTTATTGGGGTTTATGAAATGAAGTGACTGTGCTAAGGGGAAATGTACAGGTATCTAGATTATGAAACCAAGGGCTTTTCCCTGTCTTGAAAAATGGGAATTAAAAATATTCCTTCAAATGGGTTTAAAAAAAAATTTTTTGTTTTAAATTCCCAAAATTACTTTTTAAAAGAAAAAAGAATAAAATGTGAATATACTTATTTTTTGGGTGGTCAAGCTATTAATGTTTATTCAATTAAAAAAAAAAGACCGTCAATAAAGTAGACAGGCAGTTTAGGAATTTTTATTATTAAATCTTAATTATACATGAACATTATTATATTTATATTGTTGTTTATAGAAAGAAACAGACAAAAGAGAGAGATTTATTTGGTCATGACAGTCTTTTTTTTCATTCACCACTGGAAAAATATATTATCACATTTAAGATTACTGAAATTGTTAATTGATCGAGAACAACTCAAAACAAAGGGAGACAATCGCACAAAGGAAAACCGTAGAACCGATAAGCGTTCTCCAGGAGAGGTATACGTTCTTGGCATTTTTGAGTTGCAGTGAAAGTTAGGCATTGATCAAGTTGTGAATCTGCCATTGTTAAGCGGCCATAGTTAAGGCCGCTTACTTTTCTTCCCTGGCACTAAGTTGGATATCGTTGCTGATCTAAT